TCAAAGAACATCGTCTGTATCTCATCGCAGAATATTGAATATTCCTTGTGAAAAACTTTCGAGTGCAAAGGGTTAATATTGTAAATTCCACGTCTTACGAAATGGTACTACACTGATTGTTCCCATAAAAAAATTCCAGTATTATTATTATTCGCCTTGTTCTTCGTACATTACACCACGATTACTTTAATCGAACAGGCACGTTGCCAATGTTTAATGAATTTTTGATGGTTTGTTCGGGCATCGCTATGTGCATTCATTCAGCAGCTTCATTCGATGCGCCTGAGCTTTCAATGAATTCATTTGGTACCATGCCAGTCGTAGATATGTCTGAAATTATCGCGACTCGGTATCCTATCATATTTCTTTTATCTCCTTCCGTTCTCGTTCAATTATATTCGTCGCATATTTCAAGTTGTCTAAAAAAATGAAATAAGAAAGAGCAAATTCAAACAACTCTCAACGTACACCACTGTATTCTCCCCCTGATTATCTCAATGTAAATAGCGAGAAAATACAGCACAGTGGAAAAACCAAAATTTATACCAGCTTCTCTCAATATTTTATTTCCTCTCGCACCTGTATCTACGCGAATATCGTCCGTGAAACGAACCCTCGTGGAACTACCCATTCGAGACGGCGATTTTTTCGAACACGGTCCCCAGAAGCGAAGGACATAAGGACATTATTATTACTGCACAGACGGTGTGCAACCGGTCTTCTACCTGCAGAAGTCAATTGCGCACACGGTGTGCGATCGGTCTCGAACGGGTTAAACGAAGCTCGCGTGAATCAGGTGTACAAAAATCATGAAGATCGGCGCGAGCGTGCATCGGCGACATTACCAGCTTCCAAACACGACGGGGACACGTGCATCCGAGTCGCTCGTGCGTGCATCCCGCCTCGTCTGTATCGAATGCATCGGCGCGAGTGCACCGCAGGCACGCAAGCAATTGCGCAAGTCGGCTTGAATGATCGGTAGGTCGTCCGGTGCCACGTTGCCCGGATGTGTATCGAGTCTCCGGCTGCCAAAAGTGGCGTTTCACGGCAACCGAACGTTCGATGCCCGCTGGTGCCCGGCCACGGTGCCAGATTCGAACGTGCACGTTGCACGTGATTCGATGCAATTGCGACGCTGAACGGTACGCGTCGATTCACGAGGATCCCGCATGCTCGCCGTGCGTAAATGTTAATTCCGCCGTTTCCTGCGGCCGCCGCGACGCGCGATAAAACGATGCGGGCATCGATCGCGCGAATTTATTGCCGATACCGCCGGCGCGTGCATCAATTAGCTCGCTTGTATTTCCCCCGTTCCGCCACGTGGACGGAAACGCTTTTTATCGGCGCCGTATCGCGCCCGCGAATGTTCCCATTGATCGACGGCGACGTTCGGCTTCTCCGAACTTTTCGTTTGCACGGCGCGAGCGCGTGCATGTAGTTACGGCGATTATGCGAGTCGGGGATATGAAAATTACACGGTTGAATCCTCGTGTGAATTGGATATTAGGTATTGATGCGTGTTAACCATTTGCATTCGAGATGACTCTCGCCAATTGATTTCACGCAGTAGAACTGTGAATTCGATGTTTGTTGTATTCTGTGTAATGTAATTTGAGAAATATTGAGATTAAGCTTTGTTCTTTGATTAGTTTTATGAAATATTGTCTTTACCTCGTTAGAAAGTGTTAAGGTGTTTCTAGTGAAGAAATTCCGAGTGCGAAGGGTTAATATGAATATTACTGAGTGTTAATCCTTTGCACTCGAGAATATTTTTCGCAAACATTCCTTATTTTCTGATGGAATGTCAAAGGTAGTTTTTACAATTAATATAAAGCAATGCCTTGCATAAATTAAGTGAAACTATTTTATTTCGATGTTCTATGTGTTGGTAGACTATAGAAAATTTAATATTGAATTTTAAATTTTATAATTTCGAGGGTTAAATCAAATGGCGAGTGAAAAGCGCCTCTCGAGTGCAAAGGGTTAATATGTGTTATATACCTGTCGATTATCGATCTTGAATTTTTAGGGCAAACGTAGACGTAGAATAAGAGCCAAATTCTTTTCTTTACCTACTGTGTTATCAACGACAGAGTAGTGTTATCGAGCACGGTCGCGAAGAGAAATCAGGGCAAAGGGTTAACGTGGAATTTGCGTCAATCGGGCGAAGCTCGCGTCCGCTCGGAATGCGGAACGCAAAAGCCGCGTCAACGCAGCCGTCGCCGTGAAAAAATGGTAAACAACGCGTCGCGGGAGAGCTAAAAATATTCCCATTAAACGAGAACGCGTTGTGCTTGTCACGATGGTGTTCTCAAAGTTTGTTAACACGCGTCCGACGTGATTGCTGCGTGAATGCGATAGGTTTCCGAAGAAACGGCAAAGCTTTTTGTTCTCACGAGTATACTCGTTCAAAACCAGGTAACAAGGGAATGTTCACTTTCGAAACAACCAATTTTATAGGTGTTGCTCGAATGAAAATTCGAGTCGCTCGAAAGCGACCTAGCTCGACGATTCAGGGAAACATATGGGTTTTCCCGGAGCTGTCGGGGAATAACGGAATCGGCCTGCCGAGAGGATCTGGCGGATTCACAAAAAACCATAGACATTCCTCCGATGACCACCGCACAGAATACATCATTAGAACATCGGAAAGAGACGTCTTAGTATTGCCTTAGACTTTTTATTGAAATAAACGCTACACTTTCCTCGTCTGTTTATCCCCAGTTGCAACTGCAACATCTGCAGACTCTTGACGAGCATCGACGTCGTTGACGGATACTGTATCTGCAGTGTCATCGTTCACGCCGATCGACCATTCAGACTTTCTCAGCCCTCAAGATGCCTTGGATCCTTTCGATTTCTAACCAGACGTCCAATTTCGTACGAAAAGAACTCAGACGTCGCGTGAAAAGCGCGTTTCCCACCTGGTCGCGTCAGCTACGGGTTGAAGCCAGCGCGCCAAGTCGTTTGTAACAATTTGAATAATTTGTAATAGGCTTTAACAGGTGCATTCTTGGAAGCGGACGCGCCGCGGCGACGGGGCGGCGCACGCGTCTGGCAGCCAGCGGCCCATAAATACGAGCGGCGTAACACGAACCGTTTGAATGAAATGTCAAGAGACGACGCGGATAAAAACGAACTCGTCGCGAAATCAGCTTGTTAAAAGTTGGCGAAAACCGGGCCCGAAATAGACCGCGGCGTATCCGATTTCGCCCGGATACGCGGATGTCACAATCCTCGTTTTCGAGAAACGTGACCGTCATCGTCGCCGTCGGCCGTCGGTTGCGTCACGGACTGATACGAACGGCGGCGACGACAACACGGAAAACCTTTCTCTATCGTCGGCCTAAATACCAGCCACCATCCCCGCGCGTTCCGCCCCTGCGCGAAGATTTTGGCGCGCGGCCTTCCGGCCGGCCGTGCGTCCTCTTACCGAGAAACTCGATATACGTCTGCGATAGCCGTTCTTCGTGGAACCTGACGGCGACAATGGCGTCGAGAAAAGAGAGGAAACGTCGTTGGCAATTAGAGAACGCGGATAGAACTGTGACGTTATTCGTTATTTCAATGTAAACGTCGGATCTATAAAAGGGGTTCGTTCGCGTTGGGACAACCGCGCCCGACAAGATGGCGGGTTGCAGTTTTCTTGCTTCGAAGTTATCGATGTAGCTTGAAAGCGTTGCGTATTCGACTTGATTTGAAAAATGTATCAGCTGGACAGTCAACGCGGTTATGTGTAGGAAAGAAGAATTGAGAAAATTAACGGTTTTTAACAGATAATTATTGTATAACATTCAGAAGCTATGAAGGGCTTTCTGGCCTAGACAAAATGAGGAACCGAGTAAATTCTTTAATAATTAATATTATTCATGATATTCTATAATTAGAATAGCTTGTTCTAATGTTGAAAGTGTTTAAGAATTTTTGGGAATGAGTAGATTTCTTGGGTGTGTTTGCGAAATGATTTTGAAACCGGAGAATTGGATTTTAAAGAGATTTCGATTACAGTGCAAAATCTTGATCGTAAAGAATTCTGCAAAAAAACTCGTTTAAAGTCTCGATTCTAATTGTTTGACGTCTATAGCGAACCTTAAGGTTTACTAAATAATTATTCAAAACGTTAGTGTTGTTCTCCTATTTGTATTATTAACAATTTTCGACAACCACTTAGTAATTCTCGTTCTGTAAGCCAGACATCACCTTCGCCGTATGTTTCATAAACTGCGGAACTGATGTTTACATTTATAACATTCAATCTATCTACAACTATGTTTAGCACTCAAGCTAATCTTAAGTGCCATTTTTCAAAATAACGCAATTAAACTTTCGTCGGTGTATTCAGTGAAACCGGCCAGTAAAAACAACGTTATCTGCTTCGGTAAATCAACGTTTTTTGCTTCCTTATAAATGGGAAGTAGTGATTCGGCAAATTAACTCGTTAAAACAGGTTTATATTTGTACACGTTCCATTCCTTTTCTCCTCTCCTTTTCCTTAGGAGAATATTTTATTTGCAGATCTATTATTCAACATAATCGAGTGTACTCAATGGTGTGTACTCTTCGTTGCACGCGAGGAAAGAATAGATGAAAACTAATTAGACTCGCGTTCATTTCGTAGCTCGTCTCGTGTGCAACGAATACTTAATTGTTTCCAAGACATTTTATGTAATTAATTGCCAATGATTTGTATGGTGTGCTCTAGACACGTTATATTTAAATATATCATGTTGTTTTTCTATTATATTTGTCGTGCATTTAACACTAGAACTACCAAGCAGTCAAGTTAACTTTTCAAAATTTTTCTATTCGATCACTCAAAACTTAGTTCACGTATCACTAAAACAATTTCTTTAGAAATTTCTTCGAGAATGATCTATTATTTTTTCAATAATTATTAGAAAAGAATTTAGAAATGTGTGACTTTGATTCGTCTGGTAGTTCCAGTGTTAATTACAATGAATCGTGCATAGACACGTGATTTCTATGAATCAAGGACTTACCCTAGAGACCTTCTTCTTGGTATACACTTCGTCATCTTCCGAGGCCGTGGCAAAATTCAGATTTCCTTCGCAGTATCCGGCACCTATTCTCATTCTGCATATTTCGTCCTTGCATGATCTACCGTCCAAACTGCAACATAAATCACGCGTACATTTAGGACTTCCTTCAAACAGTAATATAAGTAAACTATTCTGATTACATTACTTAACCATTCGCACTCCAAAGTTGCATAAAAATTGTAAAATTTCGTATTTGACACTAGAACTACCGAGCATTTCATACGATTAATATACAATTCCTATAAAAATTGTAACAATTGATTATTTTCAGTTTCTTCAGACATTCATTATAGTACTCTAGTGAAACTATTTGTTTTCAAAATCATTTCGAATGTTCAATGCTTCGAAGATATCAATAACTGCTAAACAAAAAAATCGAAACGCTAGTTCTAGTGTTAACATTAAGTCATCTGTATCTTATAAAAATACATTGAATATTTCTAGTGACAAATTATTGGAGTGCAAAGGGTTAATGCAATACAAGTAGCATTGCGTTAGAAATGGTTTGGAATTACCAGGTTAATTAACCAATTATATGATAATCAGTACAAGACTCGTCGTCGGCAAATTCAGTGATATTAAACCAAATAAACAATGAACAATAAAAAAGAAACCACAAAGAAAGGGCTGTTTGTAATTATTGAGAAACGGGATCCAAAGTGAAGCAACGCCGAAAGATTTCAAAATAAGCCTTAGAATTTGATGACGATAGTCACGCAAGGATCCTGAATTCTTGCCGTGATTGCACCGTGACGCACGGTGTCCCGGCAAAAAGAAATTTCCCGCGACAGTTCCGTGAACAATGACAGTAACAGCACAAAGGACGTCGTGTTCGAGTTACTTTCGTCGCTTTCACATTCTCATGAACCTCGACAAAGGAAACCTTATAAAACTCTGCTTTAAAGCTTTTGGCAAATAGTGGCACAGATTTACGAAGGAACGTTCGCCGGAGATTATTAATCAACGCGCGTGATTAATATGAGAAACGACATTATCGAAGACTGCGAGAATATTCGAATCAATTCAATAAGAAAATGGAGAAAATGATTTATCTAAAATTACAAAATGTTTTCCACAAATTTGAAAACTAAAAATGCAACGATAGATTTCGATGGAATCGACTTGTTATTTTTTTAGTGTTTTTTTTACACGAAGAACAGTTCCATGTTTCAGAATTCGTATTTTCGAGGATTTTTCTGTTTCGCGAGAACATTCGAGATCTCTCACGCGATCGGTCATCCTAATTCGAAGAGTACGCGTAGAACTTCATCCTTTCTCCTACATTCGTATCAGGAAATCGCCGGGAGCGTTTCAAACCTCTATTTCTAAATTGATTTCCGATAACGCGGGAAACGGAAGCTATAGTTAGTATAAAAATCTTACTACTTTGAATGCGAGAATTTTTACGTAGATACATACGTAGTAGTTACGTTTTAACTTGCATGGAACTGTTTAGTAACTTATTTTCTAAAAATAAGTTACAGTGACAGTAGATAGAGTTGCGAAGCGAAAATTGAATAATGAATTTAAAAATTACGTAATGATTGACAGTCACCGGTGACTCCCACGGCATTCAACGCATTAACCCCTTGCCCTACAACGAGCGAGACTCGTGGTGAAAATTTTCAACATGATTCAACAAATATATATTTTACTCGGTTCATTCGAATTCAAAGTAATTATTCCTCTGTAATCAACTATTATACTTAACACTAGAACTACCTAACGGGTCCACATTAACCAGTTAACTGTGTTCGACGAATATACACGTCATCTTAACCCTTTGACGAAGATTCCTCGAAACATACAAAACCTTCAACATACGAAGCTAAATTATATATCAATTGCTTAATTAATAGAAAGAAAGAAAACTGCTGATCTCTTATTGTTCGACTAATAACATCATTTTTCCACGACTTAGTCTTCCAAATCTGAACATTTCATCTCACCGAAATGCCGACATCCGCAAAGGGTTAAAGCTTGAAATGGTACTAATCATTTTAACGATGAATTCAAATAAACACGTAATTCTTCTTTATTGTGGCTTCTCATTAAAATATAGCCTAGGTGCATTCGTCCTGCGTTCGACGAGTATACACTTCATTTTCCGATATTATTGCGCGCGAAACGAGACATTTTTCAGACTAAATACCACAGTTAACAAGTTAATGAATGTCGGTCCTCGGAATTTCTCGGGGCGAAAACATCCAGCTAGCTCGTGCTCGTCTCCGACTTTACGTAACGCCGACGTATCGCTACGAGCGTTTCAGTCAATAACCCGGCAGCGCCACGTCCACTGCCTCGTTATAGATTTTACTCTATAAATAGAGTCGACGGAAAAAGGCACGAGCCACCGCGCATTATTGATAATTCTAGCAATGTCGTTCCTCATAAAAATTGCACCCAGTTACGAGTCTCTTTTGTCCGCGCGTTACACCGGCGTAACGAACCCTTTGCTCTGGCTGCGGTATAAATATTGAGGGACAGCTCCGAACGGAATTATCCGACTATTATCCTACTGTCACGTTCCGTGCGACACACAACGGAATTTCCCGAATCTCGTTGAGCTCCTATCGACTTAATATTCGAAATGTGAACGTTTCATCTCGCTGGAATGTCGACGTTTGAATATTGTTCAGTCTCATTTACCAACTGTCATCGTGGCCTCTTTGTTTACAAATTCATTTTAGGTTACGTTACTTATTACGTTTTATTTAGCAATCGTTAGACGTTATTTAGTATCGTTAGACGTTTTTTTAAGTATGTGAATTTGGAAGTGAATGAAAGAAGATAATTGATGATGAGAAACATGGCATGCTCTTTGTTCGAATTAAATATGAATAAAGATTTGAAAAATGATGAAGTTAAAATTTCAGAAGGTGTCTTGTGACACCTTCGGTAGAAATGTGTTAAAGTTGAAGATACCAGTATGTATATCAGTTTGATGACTGATTGCATCGATAAAGTGAACTGTGAGGATTTATAGTAATTTGTTATGCTAATGGATCTTCCTTCTATCGAAAAGTAAATTAATAAACTGAGAATGCTGTAGTTACGTTATTAGCACGTTCTTCTTTTCGAGAATCTCGGTACCCACTGTGTCAGCTTCCTCTGACGTGTTTGTAAAATTAACATCAGCTTCTACGTACCGATCACCTTTGAAGGCTCGTTTTGTCACTTTTTTACATGCGGATGCACTTTTCTGCTACATGACCTTTCGCAAAATTTAAAAATATTTGCGACGACTTTATAGAGATACTCGGTCGCTCCGGTCAAGAGACGAGTACGACCTGACACCAGCCAGAAATTCATCCAAATGAAATTTAATTATAACAAAAAGAAATTAGCAATAGATTGATTGAAAGTGCCTTTACAAAATTGCCTCTAGAGTGCATTGTTAATACAGAAATTGAAGAGAATATTAAAATTATTTCTATCCTCCAAACTAGACTTTGAAATAAATTAGAATAATCATCAAACATTAATGGTTTCTTCAAATCACCGGATTTTTTATATTAAAGTAGTTTCTATAAAAGAAGGAACAAAATCGTGTATATATAACTTTACTGACCTTTTTACTAACCTTTGTTTGATTTTACTGACATAACCTATTTAACTAGCTATACATATAAATAGATTCATAAACTCTCAATTAAAAAAAATAAGAAATAAAGGAAAGAACAATGTTGAAGGAAATGGAAGTGCGCAATCTGTGCTGCGAAACCTTTGGCTCGCAGACGGTATTAATAGGTTCCAGGCAACAAAAGAAACCGTCTGATCGATTGACGATCATTTGTGTTTTTCCTCGTGTGATTGAGAACTTTAGCTTCGAAACAAACAGCTTCTGAATATGCAAGTGTCTTCTTTGAACAGCATTGTTTAGTATGCGCGTATAATTGAAGATCTACTGCACGCGTGACTAAACATATTATCCTTAAATAATTCATCCGGCTGTTAAGTTGTTTCTGTCAATAATACAACTGATAAAATCCTCACACCTGAAGCTGATTGTGTATTCACTAGCATTCCATCGCGTGCTACAATTTCGTCATCGAAATTGTTATTACTGAATCTCGATTTATTATTGTCTATTATCATTCGAATAATATTCGGTCTATTACCTGAATTAATGAAGAGATTAAACTGCAGCTACTGTTGGATAATAAAATATTCACTTTCGTTAAATCAATTATTTTGTACATTTACAGAATTTATTTTAAAAATATTACTTCGAGAATTAGATCTACTCACTTCGTTTCTTATGTTCACTAAAATAAGTACATTAGAATGATCGTGAAAACAAACTTTGTAGACTTCAATACATCTGTCGGATGATTTTCATGACTGTTTACCTATTTCTATAATTTTGTATATTACTGCAAACATTGCGCAGAATTTGTTATTCTCGCTGATTTTAAATATATAATGCATATTAATGCAAGAAGAAATGTGAAAGCGAAGATTAGGAAAACAGTCGTTGACGAGTTATTGATTATTAGTTATTAACTGTCGATCATCAATTAATAATTAATAGTCGATATAATAGTAATATAATTAACGAACGTATTACTTAATTCTTTGAATTTCTCTAAATATTTATACGCCCGTAAAAATTCTAATGAAAACGCGTCGATCTCGAAGCGCAGGCGGTCGGCTAAATCGCGAATCGACGAAAACCGAGGAGTTCTGTTCGCGCATTAATAATCAATTAATCAAAACGCGCAGGCGAGGAGAGACATGTGCCGAGTTTGTGCGTA